TTTCCTGGATGTTTTGATCTCTAAGAACGATACTGGATATGAGACTCAGGTGTATAGAAAACCAACACACACCAATAGATATTTAAATTTCAAATCAAATCACAATATTAATGTAAAAAAGGGAATAATTAAATCCTTATACGATAGAGCCAAAATTACTTGTTCTAACGAAAATTCGTTCTTGGAGGAGAAACATTTGTTAACATCTGTTTTATTAAAAAATGATTATCCTTTATCGTTTATAAATAAGGAATTTTCAACAATCGATCGAATAGAACAGAACAACTTAGAACGAGATCCTACAGCATACACAAGGAATAATATGAGGAAAATAACAATACCGTACATAAAAGGATTATCAGAAAAACTTAAAAGGATAGGAAATAAATTCAACATTTCAACAACATTCAAAACAACAAACACGTTGAGATCTATTTTGTCCAAAACCAAACCTAACAATGAACAAGAAAGGACAAAGAATTGCATTTATAAAATACCTTGTGAATGCGATCAGTTTTATTTAGGTGAATCATCAAGGCCATTAAATGTGAACATAAGTAAAATAAGTGAACATCAATCTTATATTAAAAATAGAGAATTTGATAGATCTCAAATATGTAAACACGCATGGGATAATGAACATAGGGTTCAATGGAATAATTCAAATATAGTCCTCAAAGAAACGGATGGTAAAAAAAGAAAAATCAAAGAAGCGGCTCTAATTATGTTAAATGAGGCCAATTGTGTCGCAAATTCCTCGGCAGAATGTAGTAGGATCTGGTTACCAATATTGAAAGAGGAAGTTATTAATAAGAAAATACCAGTAATAGTAAGTCAGTAACATATAGAGGATACATCATTTATGTTTTTTAAATAACGTAACATATAAAATCAGAATTTTGATGTTTGTTGAAGGTAAACTAAATTCACGAACAAATACTTACAATGTCGGGATAGTATTATGAGGTTTTTTCCTGGTTTTTCCCTCATAATTTACTATGGAATCACTAACAGGAGAATTTTACTGTCATCATGCTATGTGTTTGTCTTTTTAAAGACGAATTACATGCTATGATTTTTTCTGACGGATATTCTCAAGTTAAAGTTGATTTCATGTAATCGAATGAACTATCTTATAAGTAAAGTCGTCCCAGGAGCGCAACTCAACAATATTGGCAATATCATTTTAAAGTCGTCTACTTTAAAATGCATAATGTATGTCTGAATTGTCAATATAAATGAGTCAGATAAAATTAAATTATTAGAAGAATTTTTTTACTATGTAACAAAAAAACAAAATTTGTTTAATTTACTATTTGTATTTTGAGAACGATTTCCGAATTGGAAATTGAAACGTCAATAAACGTATTTTTATCTTTAATTGTGGCTTATTATCAGTTATAAATAGTAATAAATTTACAATGCCACAAGAAAATAGCTTCAGAACAATATGATATTTGTTTGTGTTGGCAGTGCTCTCTTAGGTGTGAAGTATTTCATAATGATTAAATCGCATAATTATATCGCATTATATTGCATAAATAAAAAGCAAACTTAAATATTTGTAATTATATTACTTCAGATTTTTGTAACTGTTAAACCAAACCGTTCAGATATATTTTTATGTCTAACAATGTTTACTAGCAGATTGGAACTGATAATGACTGGATTCATATACGAAACCTTTTTCTTTAAAGGGTTAATGCAGCAATATACTTATTGTTCTTCTCCACTTCACTTTACCGGGTAACACTCACACAACTACCCTTGTGTAAATTTTTGTTCTGCATTCTTTAGAACATTTAAGCTATAAGGGCGTTTTGTAATTTCGATGTCTTCACGAATAATTTTTGCTTTTTGTTTTTGCTTTTTCGAAATCTATTTTGTGACCTGTCTGAATATGATGTTGGGCCAGAGCTGAAATAGTATCAGAATGTTCTGCAGATGTAGAATATTCGTAAATTCGGTTGTGGATTCGTCGGTTTGTCTGTCCTATGTATGTTTGTGGGCAATTGGAACAAGGTATCTCGTAGACACCATGGTCTTCATTGGTGGATTTGGTCTTTTACGGATCTGACGAGATTGGACAACTTGCAGTGAGTAGTGAAGATGGTTTTGATGTTAAGAGGGTTAAGAGTTTTACTGATCTTGTCAGTGACACCTTTAATAAAAGGTAGAAAGATTTTGGGTTGATCAGGCGGCAAGGTTTATGTTTTGGATGGAATGGGATTTAGATATTTTTGAATGATCCTAGTGATTTGGGTTTTGTGGTAGCCATTTTGTAAGATTGTTTACCTTATTGAATTGATTTTAGATCAATTCAAAGAAATCTTATGAAACGGGAAACAAAAGTGTTAATAACTGAATTGAGTTGAGCGAGGTGATGATGTGACTGGACATTAATATAATGATTTGTATGGTTGCGTTTCCGGTACACGGAATAGGAAAAACGGTGAGGTGGGTGTTTCTGAATAAGAACATCAAGGAATGGCAAAGACGCTTCAGACTTAACTTCCATCGTGAATTGAATACTGGGATGTATTCCATTCAGCTGGGAGAGGAAGAAATCTAATGTGCCTTTACCATCAGGTCAAATGACAAAGGTGTCATTAACTTACCGTAGTCAATAGGTGGGTTTGAGACTTGATAAGGACAGGGCTGTTGCTTCAAAATTTTTCGTGTAGGTATCAGCTATTACGATAGAGAGGGGATCCTATTGGGGCACCTTTGATTTGACGATAGAAATGATTTTGGAATGAAAAGTATGTATAAGACATGCAGTATTTTATAAGAGATAATGTGTCTTGGGCGAATTTGATATTTAGAGTCCAAGATGGAAATGGTTTCATCAATAGGATGTTTTGCCAATTTCTAAGTGGCGCAGTTGCATGCACTGATGATCGGTTTTAGGGGGACATTGGGCTTATGGATTTTTGGCAGGCCGTATATTCATGGAATTCGGGATTACTTTTTTCTGGGTATAAGTGATTTTTTGACGTCTGGAGGTAGAGTAGACTTATTTATGCTTGATTTGGTCGTTCTTTTGTAGATAGGTGGTGGGATCGTTTGGGACACACTTGTATTCTGTGAAATTAAGAAGTTCGAACATTTGTCGAAATAATTAAAAGAGTTGAGATTAACAATGGCATTAACTTTGTCGACCCGAAGGATGACAACGTCAGGGTTGTTATAAAGTTCTTTGGGGGCAAGTCTTTTTGAAAGACTGATTTGACGGTTTCGGTTTGGGTTTTGAAGTACGGGGAATTCTGGCGACATCTTGTTTGACAACTTCTACTTGGACGGAAGGAAGATGGGAAATAGCTTCTTCCGTTTGACAAATTTTTTCTCAGTTGGAATGGAAAGAGGAGTAACAGAAAAATTGAAGAATTTTGACAAAGCTTTGGTAGATGAATCGGATATGTGAATATCTGAGAAATTGCGTACAGTAGTCGAAGGTTGTTGATTCGAAATGACAGATAAGTTGGTCCAGTTTGCGTTTCTGGGTTTGGGTTTTTGTTGTCAGAAGTGTGTTGGGCTTTTTGGTGCTCTCATAACAGACGTTCGAAAGTATCCCATAATAATGAATGGATATTGTAAAAGTGGATGCAGTTGTAAGTTTTAAAAAGTTGGGAATTTGTTATGTGTCTAAGTTGCGTCGGGTGGAATGAATTGAATTTCGAAGAAGTGAAAAACCAGTTGCTTTAAGAATTTCGGAAATAGATAAAGATTTAGTGAGATGTTTAATATAAAGATATTTTGGTATGATTTGATGGTGACGACATGATTTAAGAAAAGTAAGATCATAGAGAAGACGGTATTTGCGTGTTAGAAGATTAGAAAAAGATTTAGTAAGAATGAGAAATTCCTCCCTTTAGAGGTGAATGAATATATATATATATATATATATATATATATATATATATATATATATATATATATATATATATATATATAATTTATTGTGTTGGAATATCGGGTATGCGGTCTGTTATTATTAAAAAAAACTCTTTTTTCTTTTAATCCTCTATATTTCGCTGATTTTTTGTCAGCTTCATCAGGAGACAAAGATTTAGAGTGGAAAGTATTTAAACAAGTTGAACATAATTTATTCAAAACAGTACAGCGAAATATAGAGGATTAAAAGAAAAAAGAGTTTTTTTTAATAATAACAGACCGCATACCCGATATTCCAACACAATAAATTGTTTTTTACGTTTCGGTCGATAATCTTACCAGTTTTGCTATATATATATATATATATATATATATATATATATATATATATATATATATATATATATATATATATATATATATATATATATATATATATATATCTATATATATATATATATATATATATATATATATATATATATATATATATATATATATATATAAATCTTTTGGTCATGAGGATATCGGTCAAAGGAGAAATAATAAAAGGAAATCACAGTTCCATTCCTATATTTGAAGACGTTTCGCTTATTGTGTTTACAAGCTTCATCAGTTCAATGAATGGTAAGTGAAGAATGTTAAGGTGTAAAACAAACACACCATTCTCTTAGTATCCGTGGTCAAAATATTTAAGTTGAAATATTAGCTTAAATGTTCATATGTAATAGAATTTATGTATAACTATAAGAAAAAGTTTAATTTAAAGGTGAAAAAATTGAATAAAAACGACTGCGAAGCACTAGAAGAACTCGTCACATTGTACGTAAAAAAACTTATTAACAAAGTGTAGATATAAAAACAAAAAATTTTGACAAAACACACCGGCACAGAGCTGTTATTGTTGAACTATTATATATATATATATATATATATATAATATATATATATATATATATATATATATATCTATATATATATATATATATATATATATATATACATATATATATATATATATATATATATATATATATATATATATATATATATATATCGTCTAGAATCGTCTAAAAAATACACACTAATTACATTAAAACATTTACTTAACAAATTGAAGCTTTACAAAGATACTTAAAATTACAAAAACCAATTTTTATCTTCTAAAATTATGAAAAAAATAATACAAAGTAGCTCTATTATTTAGTAGGGTTCCTGTTTACAAAACTTTGATCTATAGATATAGTTAAATATAAAATATATATACTTATCTACAACATACTATCAAAAGTCAAAAGTAACAACATAGTTTGTAAATTATACTTCCTTCTGCATTGTCCATACAAAGAACTGATTTTCATCTTGAATAGTAGACATAAGTCTATAGCCCAGTTTACCCAAAGCAGCCACTACTTCCAGAGGATATTCTTTAAGGTGTATCTGATTTTGATTTGAATCAGCATAATATGGTTTAATTTGACGTAAGTTAAACTGAGACAGCAAATTATCATGGTCGCGATGATTTAGGCATACAACAAAACTAGATGAGGTGTCCTTAAACATTGAGTCTATATTTCCTTTAACAACAGCAAATTCATAAGTTCTTTTAGACATGATTGCGTTAGTATATCAATTTACCTAAACTCAAATCTCTTCAAAATTTAAGAGCGTATAAACTGGCCAAATACCTATTTTCGAACAATAAGGTTGCTAATGAATGACTGTGAACTAGAAAAACAAATACGTGGTAAAAAAGATAAACAAGTTTTATTAAAATCCTTTAAATAAATAGTCCAGTCAATAAGATACATAGTATCGTGTATGTTAAAAACAGTGGGATAAAAGTGTTAAGAATAATGGATAACCAGGTACCTTCTTCTTCTTCTTCAGACTTAGGTAATCCAACTTTGATAGGCCTCCCCCAAATAAATCCAGTCTCTTCTATTTTGCGCCACTTTCTTCCATTTGTGTCCTCCGATCTTCTTAATGTCATCAGCCCATCTCATTTGTGGTCTTCCTCTGCTTCTGCTTCAGAGGCAGAGGAACCAGGTATATACAACAAGAAAATCCGGTGTAGTCGCCTCGTATTTCGGCGAGATTGTGTAAAAATATATTCATCTGTAATAAAAGCAGGCAATAAAAATTAACATAAAGGTACTCTACCAAGAGTAGTTATTAACTGCAAACTTATCCATGACTGGAATGTATAATAATACAAAGTTTTAATGTTCTCATCGATATTTACATTCAGATGTGCCTAGTATTATGTTTAAAAACATGGGCAGTCACCTAGGTAGGTATATTTTAATTTTAAACCAGTAAAATCAGATTTTGCGAAACTAGAATATTTTTAGTATAACCATAACAGCGTTCAGTTAAATTCAAATTCAGAACTGTAAGTGAATTTGGTTGTGACTTCATCAGTGTTCTTTCTAAACTTCTTTTGCCATTTTACGAAGATACCTTTGAAGAGCCAGTGCAATCCTCTAATCAATTTGAAGATTTACAAAGCTGTGTAGTAAACGTAAGCGACATGTACAATACCTCTCTGATGATGCCAAACGTATGCTGAAACATGTTTATGAAGGACTGTATTCTGAGTTATCTAAATCAGAGGCAATTGCAGAAACTTGTTTTTTAACCAGAGTGTCCAAAGCAACCTGCTACAAGATAGGAACATCTTCTAGACAGAGGAGAAAGGATTGTCACAAATTCGGTAAAATAGAACTGCACTTAATTGAACCTATAACCAGAACAAAATACAAAATATATGCCGCTAATATTTTTCCAACTATATGATCTCAACTTAAAGTAAATAACAGGAAAGGAAACGTGGCTCCTAAATTTTCGTCTAAGGGAAAGTAGCCTAATTTCGGATACCATTTACAATTAGTGTCATATTTTTCACCTAATAACACATTTTAAACTTTTATCTACTCAAGAGTACTTGCAGAGTAATATAGAAACTAATTTTATTATCATAGACAATTTATTGAAAATCTTTTTTACAAAAAATATTGTTCAATAAAATTAGTGCTTTTGTATGTCAAAAATTTTAGGGCTCCTAATTTCGGATACCCTATCCGAAATTAAGACACCATTTTGTTCATCATAAGAATAGTTACACATCTTGACAAAAGTCGCAAATATAGGTTTTCTTCTTATCAGCATTGGCGCACATCTCATGACACCACTTGAAGCACTTTATACACCTTATCCACTTCTCACCGTGTGTATCTTCGGAATATAAACTGTCACAAAACATACATTCTGTGTCTCCATCTTCATCGTCTACATCCATATCAGAATCATCATCCAAAATAAGGTCATCACCAGGATGTGAAGTGTCACTACTACTCGATTCAATTTTTTTCTTTTGCTTTTTTTGGCGTGGAGTTTTTTTTCTGTTGACTTGATTTAATTCGTTGCTTATTTTTGGTTTCTTTTCTTTCAAAGTTATGTTATGTTAATGTTATAACACGAGTATTCTTGGACTGAACCGTTGTTATGCCGCTTTCATCAACGTTATAAACTCTTGCTGGGTTGAAGTTAACTTTTTCCATTGACGTTTCTAAAAGATCATAGAATCTGCTGACATTTTCTGGGGTAAATCCCTTAATTCGGGCTTTCGAGATTCCTTGTGGTTTTCTAAGGGACAAAACTGCGTTTCGCCTCATAAATCCCCTTAACCATTTTTTACCGGCAGATTCGGCATGGGCAAATGGATGACGAAGACCATTTCGTAAAGCTATTTGATATGCAAGTCTCTTGATATCAGCGGTCCCAATTCCGTAAAATCGCCGGTCCATTTCTAGGCAATACGAGACTAAATCTGCTTCCATTTCTGCAGAAAGTACTGGTCTTCTTCCAATTTTAACAGCAACCAACTGCTCCGGAGTTTTATTTTCTTGCTTAACATAATCTTCCAGAGTTGATTTCGGAACAGCAAATAACTTCGAGGCTTTAAGATACCCCATTTCCTTTCCCCTGACGGCACGGATAGCACGTATCATTCGGTCTGGATCCCATTGTTTATGTTTTTTACTTGTTTTTGGCATTTTCTTCTGAAAAGAAACAAAAGTTTTTATGCTAACATGATCATCAATTTAAGGTTCCTAATTTTCGGATATCCGAAATTATGGGACTTGTACTATCCGAAATTAGGAATTTTTTATTTTTAAGGTTAGGGTTCTCTAATTTGTATGTGAATAAAATCTGCTTTAAATTAGTAGCAAAATCAAATAAAACAGGTTTCTAGCTTACCCCTGCCAAAAGATCAAACTTCAAACAGGAATAAAAACACGAAAAAATAGGCTTTGAAATACGACCGAAAAAAAACTGCACAATAACCAATGACGTATAATATATAGACTCGGTGAACGCTTTAAAAAGTGTCCAAAACATGAATACCTTTGTTATTGTTTATTGTTTTGATACGAGGATGCACGAAGTTCTTGATTTCTTACGAAGCATCACGAAGTTGATCTTGTGTTTGAAAACATCATGGACGTATGAAAACATTTTCTCCATTTTGTGTGACAAGCAAACTTTATTTTAAATTGTTGAGCGTTATTTACTTACTATTTTAGTAAAATGCCATACTATTTTATCAAAATAATTATTTCTCTTATAGGCGGGAACAAAAAGAAATCATAAATATTTAATTTTAATTAAAAAAATAATTATTGTCATTGACATATAAATGAGCACGCCGCTGTTCTGATAAACATACCTTCAACCTTGAGCCGAGATCTTTCGGACACTCGATTCTATAGCGAGAATAGGGGACTGCGTAGTCTATATATTATACGTCATTGACAATAACGTTTGGTGGTTTCGGCACTGCCATCTAACGGGGAGCAGCTCTACTACCTAAACAATTTAAGATAATGTTCTCTGTGGTATTCAGCGTGACATACGTATAGGTTTCTGTTCGCAAATAAAGAAACTTTTTTAGATACACCGCTATCCGAAATTAAGACACTATCCGAAATTAGGCTACTTTCCTCTACTGTTTTCCAGTTTGGAAAGGCTACTGTTTTACTCTGACTGAGTAAAAATAAGGTACTAGAAAGTTTACCTTTGAGGTAATAATTATGGTGAATTAAATTTTGAGTTTTGTTATCATTTAGTTTAAATTTATTTGCTAAGAACTCCTCTATTATAAATAATAGAGGACCCAGTCTTGGACCTTCCGTGTGGAACTCCTTGTGAAACTCCATGCTTTATCTGCTTAAATTCAGAGGGACAATATCCGTACTTGACTGTCTGGTATCTATCCTTTAGATACGATGAAATTAGTTCCAAAGGAGTACCTCTTATACCGTAAAAATGCAGTTTTTTTAGCAAAATGTCATGAAAAACACAGTCGAAGGTCTTTGAAAGATCACACCGCGTTATGGCAGTTATGTTATAAAAATGTTATAAAAATGTTAGAGTATTAACCCTTTAATTGATAATGTATCTTTAAAGATACATATCAAGGAAAAATTTGTATCAACGTATTTTCTTTAAAATTATGCCAGTCTTTGGTAATGTATCTTTAAATACACCCTTTCTTTTATAACTAGTTGCGAGTCGCCATCTATAGGATTTATTACAAACGTTCTACAAGTGACGTAAATTTACCATGTTGCAATTTTTAGGTTAGTGAACTAACTGATCACATGTAAACAGCGTTTATTGAAAAGTTTTTAGAGATTCTATGCTGATAACTGTTTGTTTTGGTAAAGGTAAGTCTACTGAGATGTAATATTAAGTTGTTTGTTCCATATTATTCTATAATTTTTGTATGAAGTCTCATTTAAAACTATTTATCTTTAAATAAACATTGCCGGGTTCTTAGTTATAACCAACGGATTTTAGTAGTATCTTAAAAGATACATTGCTTAACAATGTGGTATAAATAATTAGCTAAATTAACTTGTTATTTTTTGTTTTCAGATGGCAAGTCGCGAATTTGGAGTTTATTCTAAACGAACAATGAATATAATCGCAATGTTACCACCAATAGACTCTGACGATTCCGATGTTTCAGATACAGAGAATGTTTTGGAAACAAATGATGACCAAAATAATATGGACATTGAAATGATATTTGATGATATGTATTTAGAACCAATTCAGAGTGAAAATAATGTTGCCACAAAATCTGTTCGGAGGTCAGAAAGATCTTTAAACTTTATCCTTTACCACCTGTACCTAAGAAGGTTAACATTAAACGGCAGAAAGTGGATTTTAATTTTAACTCTCCAGAGTTTTGTTATCCAGTTGAAATTCCAGAACCTATTTGCAGTAATGTAACTGATATTTCATCACCATTGACTTATTTCCAAATGTTTTTCAAGGACGATCTGTTTTCGATAATTGCAGAAAATACAAATCTGTATTCAACCCAGAGGACAGGTAAATCCGTAGCCACTGATATTAAGGAAATAAAGTCTTTCGTTGGCATTGAGCTGTTGATGCGTATAGTCAGCATGCCTTCTTATTGCGATTTTTGGTCTCAATTATTCCGTTATGATCAAGTAGCTGACGTGATTCCTCTGAAACGTTATCAGAAACATTCATTTCGCAAACAATGAAGATGATAATGGCACCGACAGGTACTTTAAAGTCCGTCCATTGTTGGAACATGTACGCCAAAACTGCTTAGCGATTCCAGAAGAACAGCGTTTTTC